ATCGATGAGGTGTTGGTGACAATTTTTGCCGCCGGAAAAAGCTTCACGGGAGAGGAAAGCACAGAAATTTCCTGTCACGGATCACCGTATATTCAACAGCAAATCATTGCCGCGTTGATTGAAGCCGGATGTCGTTTGGCTGAACCAGGAGAATATACGCAACGTGCATTCCTGAACGGGAAGATGGATCTTTCACAGGCAGAAGCGGTGGCGGATTTGATCGCCTCACAATCGCGTAATGCACATGATATCGCCCTGAAGCAATTGCGTGGAGGATTTTCTTCGGAACTGAAAGATTTGAGAGAAAAGCTGATTCACTTCGCCTCATTGGTGGAACTGGAGCTCGATTTTGCTGAGGAAGATGTGGAATTTGCCGATCGAACGGAGCTCAAGCAGTTGGTGAGTGATGTATTGACCTACATTCGTCGGCTTTCAGAATCCTTTGAATTAGGAAATGCCATCAAGAATGGTGTTCCCGTAGCAATTGTTGGGGCACCGAATACGGGGAAAAGTACCTTATTGAATCGCTTATTGGGCGATGACCGTGCAATCGTAAGTGATATTGCTGGAACAACGCGCGACGTAATTGAAGAAACACTCAACATCGAAGGAATTCTATTCCGATTGATAGACACAGCTGGAATTCGTGAGAACGCTGAAGAGATTGAAGCGATGGGAATTGAGCGATCGAAGGAAAAGATCAAACAGGCGAAAGTTGTTTTATGCATGGCTGATGCTTCTGACGCGAACGGTTTAAACGAAGCCATTACCTGGGCCGAAACCTTGAAATCGACACATCCTGAAAAGAAGATTCGATTAATCATCAATAAATCTGATTTGGCGCAGCCCGAAAAAGGAGATGCAATTGTCATCAGCGCAAAAGAAGGTCAAAACATCGATGCATTGAAAAGTTGGATGTTGGAAGCCGTAACCGATGGTTTTGATATGGCGAATGAAACAATCGTTTCTAACGCGCGACACAACGCCGCCTTGATTAAGACAGCTGAGGCACTCGAAAAAGCATTAGAAGGGCTGGAAACAGGCATTACAGGCGATTTTGTTGCAATGGACATCCGTCAGGCCATGTTTGAACTCGGAAGCATTACAGGAGACATCTCCACAGACGAT